TACAGTGAGGCGAAACTCACATCGAATGTAGAAGCTCACTGAAAGAAATCCCTAGCTGCTTCCCTGCCGGCTTCCCGAGCTATCAAAACCAACAACACACCCAATTAGCAATTGGGTTCCATGCTATAATCCATAATCCTTTCTTGGGGTGAAATGACCATTTTACCCCTGACCCAACATAAACCAAAACTGAGGCCCAAAACCAAAAGATCCACAAAGGCCCACTAATGGACCAATTTTCCAAATTGGGCCCAACCCCTTATGGTTCTTATCCTAAGCCCATAATTTTCTTAATTAAACTTCTGATTACTAGGGGTGAGCACGGTGCGGTTCGGTGCGGTTATTAGCTAAAAACCTCACCACTAACCGCAAATGCGGTTAATCCATTGGTGCGGTTATTTTTGCGGTGCGGTTAGGCGGTTATTTTTGCGGTGCGGTTTTATTTTTTTTGTGTTGCGGTTATTAACCGCATGGAATTTGGTGCAGTTATTTTGTGTGATTTTTAACCATAGTTTAGAGCTCAAACGGTTTTAAGAGTTCAAACATATTACTTATAATAATAAAAAAACGATAAGTTATAAGACAATTAACTTAAATCACAAATAACTAATATCTTAAAAACGTCAAATCAATAGTAATTAACAATAAATATCTTAAAATTGTCAAATTTCACCATTTTTCAAAGTTGAAAATAACAAAAAACCAACATTTTTGTTTTCTAGTATTTTATCATTGTTTCATCCATGAAACTTGTCTTATTTTTAATATTTAATATATTAATAATTAATAAAAAAATTGTATAAAATATATGCGGTGCGGTGCGGTTTTTTTTTTCGGTTTTTGAAGACTAATAACCGCACCGCACCGCAAATTTGCGGTTTTTGAAAAATAGAAAACCTCACCATCGGTTTTTATTGCGGTTGCGGTTTATCGGTTGCGGTTTATGCGGTTTTTACGATTAATTTTAGGTGCGGTGCGGTTTTTGCTCACCCCTACTGATTACCTCAAGTATCCCTTGGGATAAACTTTTTCAAAGACATGAATCGAAGGTCAAAGTCAACGGTCCAAGTTGACCCAACTTGCCGAGTTGTCCTTCAACTCGTCGAGTTTCTCCATCAACTGCACAGATCGGGAAAAATCAAGTCAACTCGCCGAGTTGACCAACAAACTCGTCGAGTTCTCCCAAGAACCAACAACTTAATGCATTAAGCTGCCTTCAACGAGTCCAAGAGCTCCAAAGCTCAGATATCGACCAAAATGAGATCAAGAAGGGTTAAGTTTCCAACTTTACCCCTAGGAACCACCTAAAAGGGGTCCAAACCCAAACCTTAGACTTAAAAGAGTGAGGGCTTAATCATTAAGCACTTAATCATCAAGGACAAAACCCCAAAATGCAGATCTGACCCCATAAGGCTAGATGGCCACATAAAGTTTCCAACTTTACGCTTAAGCATGACTAGGAGGAGCCCAAAAGCTCAAAAAGGGATAAATGAAAGACTTAATGAATGCATGAAGCCCTTAAATCCATAAAGTTTGCACCTTTATGCTAAAAGAGCTCATGTAGACCTTAGATCTGAAAGAATAATCATTTGGGACGTCCTAATCCCCAACATCCACCCAACCATGTCTAAAAAATCATAAAATCTAACCCAATAAGAGATCTAAGCAATGTGAGAACTTGATACCTCAAAAACTTGGCAAATGAGACATAGATTTTGGATCCAAGACTTTCTTCTTCAAGCCAAGCAACTCCTAATTCCTTAGCTCCTTCAACAAGCACCAAAATGAACTCCCAAGGCTCTCCCCAAGCTCTCACACTCAACAATGGAAGATAAGGCTTGATTTTAGGGTATCTGGACAGAAAAGGCTGGTAAGGAGGCCAGCCAAAGAACTTAAGACCTTTAAATGGGGTGCAACACCCAAAAAATTAGGGTTTCACAATCAACGTCCAACTCGTCGAGTTCCCTTCACCAACTCGCCGAGTAGGCTCACAAAAACGCGCGCCCCAAAAGCCTCCAACACGTCGAGTTTCCCACCATCAACTCGCCATGTTGGTCCCTAGGAAAGAGAATTTATTTCCATAATTAATCTTTTAGATTCCGGGTGTTACAAACGTTCATTTTTTTTTTAATTTTTTAATTTTTTAATTTTTAGTTTTTACCTTTCAAACACTATTAAACATATTCTATAAACACCACAATTTTCTTTCATTTTACTCACACAATTCCCCTCTCATTTTATTCACAATCAAACACTTGTTTTGCTTGATAATTCAAAACCAACGACTCCTAAAAGGATGAATTGGTCATAAAAAGAAGAAGAGAACTTAGCACTAGCATGGGTGACGGTTTCTGAAGACCCAGATGCTATAATGCCTCCTAATTTTTGGGTAAAAATTGGAAACGTTTTCCATGATTTAATGGGTTGCCGAAGTCGTAGTCTTGATGAAATATGTTCGAAGTTTCGCGATATGAGGGTCAAATGCCTTAAGTTCGATGAAATTTATAACTTTGTTATAAACAACGTACACGAAGGTGAGCCGTTTGCTGTGGCCATGCACCGATATGAAGACACGAAACACATACCGTTTAAACACGTCAAAGTTTGACTAAAATTGAAGGAGTGCCCAAAATTCAGTCATTAAAAATCATAAGGTTTAAAAACTAGTTTAAGTTGTTTGTGGTTGCATTTTTATGTTTTTTTATTTATTTTATTTTATGTTGTGTGTTTTAAAATAATGTAATGTTTGTTTAAAAAATATATGTTTTATTGTGTTTTTTTTAATGTAATGTGGTATTTTAATTTAATGGAAAACTAGTATTTAAAAAAAGTATGATTTTAATGTATTTTTGAATTTAATTAAAAAATGAGGTGCAGTGGTGTGTTTAGTGGTAGGTATCCCATTATTAGTGGTAGGGAGTGTGGTGATGATGTGACACCCACTACTATAAGGTCATCCGTTATACCCACCACTAACCATTATAGTGGTGGGTGTTACATCATCACCACATTCAACCACTAAACCTATGAGATACCCACCACTATATTCCTCTTATTTTTTTATTTTTAAATTAAAAAATATATATATTTTATTGTAGAGAGAGGATAAGAGAGTTAGACCCCGTTTGATAGACATATTTCCAGCTCCAAACAAATCTTTCTGACTAAATGGACCGGAAAGACTGTTTGATATGCACAAAAAATAGGTATTTCCCAGTAAGATATGTCTTTCCAAGAAAGCTCAAAAATCATATCTTTCTGGCTGAAGAGGCTGGAAAGACAATTGTACCCCAAACTCTGCCTCTTTCTTTCTTGGATTATTAGTTTCTTTTAATTTTTTTTTTATTGGATTATTATATAGTAATAAATATTATTTTTCATATATAATATTTATGTATTAATTAATATTATTTTATTGGATTATTAATTTATTTTAAATAATTCTTTTTCTATTTCCTTTTTATGGATTAATTCTTTTTATTGGATTTTAAATGATTATTTTGTAACTTCATCCATCACAATATAGAAAAGCAGGGTAATATTATCATTTTTCATCATTCAGCACAATAAATAAGATGTATAATCAAACAACATGGTTTCTTTCCCAGTCAGAAAACTTTTCCATACAACACTTTCCCAGAAAACATTTTCTCGGACAGAAACTATCAAACGGGACCTTAGAGAGATAGAGAGAGAAAGAAAGAATTGTATTGGACGTTTGAAATCGTTGTCCGGAGCACGAAGGGCCACAGCCACGACCCACCGGGATGGCGTGCACGGTCATGGTTTGTGGCTACCTAGACCACGACCTCGTTCGTGGCCATCATACCGAAAGGTCTAATGGTTAGTGATGAGTATAAATGATGGTCTAAAGTAGAGTTTATTGGAGTGTTTTAGGATTGATTAGAGTAAACCATGGTGGGATCATGTAGGCTCGTGCAAATACGAGTTATGCAATGAGCTTTTCCAAGTGAACCAAACGAAAGAACCGTGGGCATACCCTCGAGTGTAATTAGAGCCACCAGATTCTTGGCCCATTTCACATCAACTTTCTCATAGGCACAACCAAATAGACAGTAACAGGATCTATATCCGTGTATATTTGGGATGGAAATGGGCAACTTGAGTTTGTATGGGGAAAATACTTATGTATAACAAGAAAAACATTCTTATCTTTCCTACAGAAACGATGCGACACGGATGCAAGGGAAGTACAATCAACTAAAAAGTAAATCCCACATTGACAATTGAAAAAAAATAATAATAACTTTGAACCTTTCATATTTGAAGAAGTTGGAGATAAAAGGCGAATTGGAACCTTATAAGGATATTAGCGGTTCAACGAGTTCTCTTTAATTAAAAACAGGGTTGGAAATATAACAAAATGCCAATCATACCCTTACACTTACATCCATTTTATTTCCCCAATCCCCTTTTCAATTCCATTATAATTTTCTTTCATAAAATAAAAATAAAAAACGTACTTTGACTTCTATACAAAATGAGATCATTTTTTGCTTACAAAAAGTCAAAAAGTTCACGAAGTATGTAATGTCTCCAAATAAGAGTCCCACATCCAAAATGATCTTCAATGGAGACTACGTTTGTGTTAACTCTTCATCCCTCTATTATACATATATAATATCTTACATACATACATACCTACATATCTGTCATATTATTGTAACAGACTAGAGATTTAGAATGAAATTAGATACTGGTAATTGAATGATTCAATGATCTAAACTCTAAAGGTGTAACCTCTTATTTATACCTAGCTAGCACCGACCAAACTAGGAAAGACAAGAATGCCCCTAGCTAAGGAAGTCAAACATAGGACCAGTCAATAGTCAACTCCTTCTCTAATACTCCCAAGTGTAACAATTATACATACTAATGTTTGTAATTACACTTGCTAGGTTTTTATTAAACAATTTGCAAAACCAAATAAGTATTTTCTACTTAAAGTTGAAAATGAAGCAAAAATCCAAATCCAAAAACATCCACATAAGACAAAGAAATCTAGTTACCCCATCACATGGATAGGTAGGTACTACTTCAAGTTTACCATAATGCTTGTAAAACCAGTTCTTCAAAACAGTAATTAGTTTGACAATTACAACCAATAAGGGAACCTGTCCCCAAAATCACCCCAAGTGAAAAACAAATGCAATAAATCTTCAAACCAGTCTATAACTAGTTTCGGTTTTTCTCCATTGAATTCGAAAAACTCGACCCTTTCCACATCACTAGTCAAGATTTCCCTTGTTTCAGCTTCATCCAACCACTCGTATTTTTCATCAAAATCCTAGATCATCATACAAAAGCATAATTTTTTCATGTTAGATGTGAAAATCCAATTGTTTTTCTTAAAAGGATAATGTAAAGATCCCCAATTCAAATCCTTTTAAGATTGTGTCTAGACTCTAGGCCTCATGTTACACAAAATGCAACAAGCATCAAGGAAAGCGATACATTTAAAAAAAAATGATAAGAGAATACCTGTTTAATGATCAACTTGAGCGACTCCAATTTGGGATAATATTTGAGAACTTTGTTGAAGTTCTCCATGGTGAAGGCATCCATAGTTGTTTTAATCACCAAAGTCTTCAGATTAGGTAAAACCGGATCACGTGCAGCATAAATGCACTACAATAATGACAAAGATTTGATAAAAACACAATCATAATTTCAAACAAAAGTAAATAAGTATCATAAACCCAAATGAAAAATTGGGGAAAAAGAGAATAAGCATCTACCTCAAGGAAGAAGAAGAGGTCGATAGACAAATGTTCCACACGAGAAATTCCAGGAAACAACACAGATTTGGTAATCCCCTCAAATTTAGGCTGAATCACAACTACCTTCAAGGAGTCTAGACATTCAAAGAAAATGCGATAAGCTATATTACCTGTTAAATCCATATCCACCAGTTTTGGGCAACAAATCTTAATGCCACTGCACATTAGCAAATTTTCGTTATTGTCAATTCTCAGCCTTTTGAGATTCGGATTTGAAATACGTAGAAGAGCAAGTTCGTTCATGAAGCAGCATATCAAACTCAACTCCTCAAGCAACGGGCAGCTTTCAAGAAAATTATTAATCAAATTATCGTCTTCCAAGTCAACGTAGGTCAAATCAAGAACCCTAAGTGCCGGAAACCCCATAATATTAGGCAACCTTAGAAGACGAGCCGATAAATACAACTTTAATACCTCCAATGAACCACAAGTCGCCAGACAATGGGGCATCTCGAATACATCGGTAAGCTTATTAGGGTGTAACTCCAAGTGAAGTTCTTTGACATTTTTCCGAACTGCCACATGAATCCACCGCCAGACTGTTGACATACAGTAGTAATCACCACAATATAGACGAAAGCTATCCAAATTGACGGTTATGTTTGCTAGAACCCAATACACAAACTCTATGAATTTGGTTTTTTTTAATTCACGTCTGTAACGTATGTGTAAAGAGGGAACTGCAGTCCACAAATACTTCCATCGTCTGGACAATATGCTGCTCCGAATTACTTCTTCTGTAGATAAAAGACGGGAGAGAATCAAAAGAAGAATTGCATCCGGCATGCTACTGATGAAATCGACATCATCTTCGAAATTTGATGCCTTTGGTGGCTCTGATTTCTCCATCCACTTTCCTTTTGGTGATGTGAGTAAAAAGTTGTTCATAGGAGCTTCCCTATTGACTGTAAAGGAGTACTCTCTCTCTCTCTCTCTCTCCACATTTTTTTTTCTATATTTGTATTAATACCATTTTTATATATAAATTAGGGTTGTCAAAATTATAATATGAAAACCAACAAACATTACAAACCAAACCAAAAAAGTTGGTAGCACAAAGCTTAGTGAGTTTTACAAAATATTTCATACATCACAGCATATAACAACACTCCTGAAATATCAACAGTTCCGAATATCACATATAACACACAATATAACAACTATGAGTGTCACACCCATGAAGTTCGAGCCAATTTAAAACTTTTTAAATCATTTAAAACCATTCAGTTATTACAATTTGTTTTCAAAATAGTTTATACATCAGAGTTCCCAGAAATCATAATCATCAATTGAGGAAGTGTACGGTCACGCCTTCGCCTCCCCGCGGCCATCCGTTGAACCTGAAACAATAAACTGAACTGTAAGCCCGAAAGCTTAGTGAGTTGCCCCCAAAATACCAACCTCATATAACCATAATCATATCATATCAACAAATACAGAACAACATGCATACTGAACCCTCAGCTTGACTGGACCGCCTTGCAAGGCCTACAGTCTACCTGGATCTATCTCGAGCCTTCGGTATGACTGGACAGTCATGCAGGTTCACAGTCTATCCGGACCGCTCGTCGGGTATGTTGGCCTCAACCGCACGAAGCAGGACCCTGCCTCAACCCACCCATCAACAATAACCATGTGCACATAAATAACATATACTGACATATATATAACAGTCATACCGATCTAACAGATCATCAATCATAGCAACATCCTATAACCAGGATACCGACCTAACCAGGTCACTAACATAGCATCATCTTATATACCAGGATACCAATCTAATAGATCATAATAGCATAACATCATCCTAAACAGGATACTGACCTAACCGGTCACTAGCATAACATCATCCTGTATACTAGGATACCGATTTAACAGAATCATAATAGCATAGCAACATCCTAAACAGGATACTGACCTAACCGATCACTAGCATAACATCATCCTATATACCAAGATACAGATCTAACAAACCCATAATAGCATAGCAACATCCTAAACAGGATACTGACCTAACCGGTCACTAGCATAACATCATCCTATATACCAGGATACCGATCTAACAAACCCATAAGTATATCATGCGAATACCCGAATACAAATCCGATAAAGGGTCGGCCTTGGTGCCGTAGACCCTGTTGATATAGTGAGGATAATTCACCTTGCAACTGCCGAACTGAAACACGAGAACACTGGCCCGAATCACTGCTCCAAACTCCAACACCTGATGCCATCAATGAACCATGACATAAATATCTAAAATACCATAACACCCCTGAAGGTAAAACAGGTCAAAGTCAAAGTCCTAGCCAAAGTCAACCTTCCTGATTGACTCTACTCGCCGAGTCAACCCGTCGACTCGCCGAGTCAACCCGTCGACTCGCCGAGTCAACCCGTCGACTCGCCGAGTTCCCAACTTCAGAATACTCTTATATCACAACTCGACTCGCCGAGTCACTCCATGACTCGTCGAGTTTAACGATCTCTGAGTCCTATCATGACCAACTCACTGAGTCACCACTCAACTCACTGATCTGAGTCTTAACCAGAAGAGGTTGGGGTTTTGCGTTTTGACTCGCCGAGTCCAAGAACAGACTCGCCGAGTCCACGACAATCTTGAACAGACTCGCCGAGTTGTTCCTCCAACTCGTCGAGTTCATGCCTATCTTCAAACGACTCGCCGAGTCCAAGAACAGACTCGCCGAGTCTCTTCAGTCCTTTATTCATGCAGAGACTTTTCGAGTCATGCAGGGGCTCCAAACTGTAGATCCACACTTCTAGGTCATGACTCTCACGTAAAGTTGCAAACTTTACGTGAATACAAGGTGTTATAAGCCCAAATCACTCTAGGGCTAAGGTTTAAGACAATGATGCTTCACCAACAAGCCAAGGGCTGATACTTTGAGAGGTTCTGGACCAAGACAAGTCTAGATCTGAAGTAGCAACCTCAGATCTAGACCCCTAACCCGAATTAGATCCTTAACATGCCAAAATGGCCCCAAATATCATTCTAGAATAGATATAAATGCAATAGAGTCAAGGTAACAGCTTGTTACCTCTAAAATGTGCCCAAGCTGAAGTAGATTCTAGATCTACACCAATCCCTTGATGCTCTACACTTTGATTTACAAGCCTTCTTTGCTAGAATCTCCTTCCAAAGCTTCCAAGTTCACTCCATAGGCTCACACACGATTCCAGGGTTTTCTGACTCTCAAGGGGGGGGGGGGTGACAAAGAGGCTGAGGTGAGGACTTAAGGTCCTTTAAATAGGGTGCAAGCCCTGATATTAGGGTTTTCTCTTCCCAACACCAACTCGTCGAGTCCAGCTTCCGACTCGGCGAGTTGGTCACTTAATTCGCGACCAAAACCCGATCCGACTCGACGAGTACTCGCACCTACTCGTCGAGTAGCTTCTTCAATGTACACTTTAAGCCCTTATATCATATTTCTGAAATTTGGGATGTTACAATGAGTTTTCAGCAACTCTCAGAACTATCAGCAGTCCCATGTGGGCTCACGGCATGCCCTATGGTTTAACAGCACACCTCCCAGGTTATCAGCAACCTTGGGGACTACCAGCAGTCCCATGGACTTACAGCAGTCCAGGAGTTATCAACAACTTAGTTCACATATAACAACTATCAACAGTTAAGACCCAACTAGTCAACATGCATATACTACCACACATACAAGTATAGTGAGAGTACTCACCTTGCAAGTAGCAGCTACACAACACAACTCTTCCCCAACAAGGATTGATCCTACATGACACTTAACAGCAATAAAGAGTACCCTCTCAGTCTATAATCCAAAATCCTTAATTGACCAATAGTCAACCTTGGTCAAAAAGTCAACCATGGTCAACCTTAGCCAACGGTCACGTCTTGAACACCCATAGGTCACGTCGTAACCAAAACCGGACAAAACAGTCGCGAATGCTCATTTCTCACTTCCCGCGATGCGACATGCTACTCCTCACGTCGTGAGATCCACTCTGACCAGCTTTGAGCATTAAGTTCTTAATCCCTTAAGCCATTCCTTGAGACTTTCCAGATGGTCTTCCCCAACCCTAAGGACCATAAAAATCGCAACTTTTTCAATCATGCATGTCCAATGCATGACTTGAACACTAACCAGGTCAAAAAGAGAAAAAAAGGGATCAAGACTCATGCTTGGAGTCTAAAACCAACACCAAACCTCAGATCTGTAACTTATACTAAAGATAAAGCCTCAATGATCCATAAAGTTGCTAACTTTATGGATCCCATGCATGCTACCCAACCTAACCATGAAAAGAGAAGCATAAATCTTAGATCCAACATGGATAAGAGATAAAGGTAAGAGCTTTAAGACTTACAAAGGTCCAAAAGCACAACAAGATGATGAGGTAGGAGCTTGATTGCCAAAATGGATGCACCCAAGGAGTCTTCTTCTTCTTCTAAGAGCCAAAACCACCAAAAGAGCTCTTCAAGGTCACTAATGGAGGCTAAAAACGATTTGGGCAGGAAGGAGATGATGGAGGTTAAGGGTGTTCAAATCCTAGCCTCATATTTCCCTTAAATAGGGCACAAAATACGGGTTTAGGGCATATCCACTCTCACGTCGTAACAACCTATGTGTCACGTCATGAGCCACAAAGATAGACATGCGTCTCAACCCCGTGTCACGTCGTGAGGCTCCCCCCACCCCCACGTCGTGACCCATGGTTTTTCCCAAAAATATTGTCCTTAACTCCTTAATTCCCCACACTGATCCATTCTGGAAATCGGGTGTTATAATTCTCTCCCACTTAATTTAGATTTCGCCCTTAAAATATGACCTTAACAATCATTCTAAAACGGCCCCCTCCGAAATCCCCTTGAGGGATCTTACCAGACCACCTACTTCTTACTCAAGCCATGCCACCCTGGGTGCCCAAAACTTTAACTAAAACCCAAAAATTCCCAAAACCAGGCGCGTATGCCAAACCTGAGCGGAGGCTCCCCCAAGGTCAAAATTACGTCTGCTGATAGAGAATGAAGGTCAACACATCACACCCAACTGATTCAAGAAGGGTTGGCTCCCATGCTTATAACTTAACTTCCACGAACATGTATGTCTCCCAGGCAGACAAGGCCTCCCTCAACCTCAATCATGTTGAACAAATCTCAAAGGTCTGATCCCAAACAAAACCATTCCCAACCTTATACCGTCCCACTGACAGCAAAAGACAGGAATCCACAATTAACTATGAAAATTGCCAACCTTGCTTACCGCAAAAAAAAAGATGTCATGATTTAGGGTCCTTAACTGCAAATCCAAACTATTGACATGCTGAAACTAATCCTCTGCTCCCACGAGCGCAACCATGACCAATATCAACCTCATGTGACACTCGGTCTCCCTGAACAACACAAGTGCACATTCATCTGCCAAGACTCTCAAGGGTCTTATAACCACCCGCACCACCGCCTCCTGGTGTTCCCAACTAGCATACCACTGCTCCTATGTCAATCTAAGCAACTATGGGTCATCAGCGTGCCAAGGACTATTAGCAGTCCTGGAGTTATCAGCAACTCTGAAAATACTCATAACAGCTACCATCTACTAAGACTCAGCTAGTATACCATGCATACCACTATGACATAGGTAATAGGGAGAGAGCTCGCATGAAACCTCATCATACAACGAACACGAGTCCAATAATAAGAATCCCAATAGTAAGTTGATAATATACCACCATGACTTTTCCATCAACACCATACAACTGTCTGACTCAACCTGCCGGTCACTGGGCTATCAGTGACAACCCTATACTGCTTAAGCACCCACCATTGCCACAAAATTAGCAAACTAATCCACGATTCTTTGCTACACAACTGCAAGCCCCACTAACAAAAGTGAAAACCATGATGGCTCACAGCATGTCGTGACGCCATCCAGCCTTTGGGATGAGGAG